CTGACCTCACTCTGACCTCAGACTGACCTCACTCTGACCTCACTGTGACCTCACTGTGACCTCACTGGTTAGATGACGGGCTCGTCTTCAGTGTGTGTGGATGAACTTACTGATCCTGAGCGAACACGGCTCCTGTCAGAGCGTAGGGTGACGTGTTGTCAATCAGACGCAGAACTTCCTTGTACTCGTCGTCAGGATAAACGTAAACCGTCAGAACCGGCCCAAAGATTTCCTGCACAACACAAACTGCGTTACATCAGCTTGAGCTCACACATCACAGACATCACAGACAACGGCCTTAAAACGCCCTGATAATGGTCCGATGGCGCCTGCACCTCATTCATGATGGCGTCCTGCGGGTCCGTGGTCTCGATGATGGTCGGCTCCACAAAATATCCCTTCCTTTTGTCACACTTTCCTCCGGCGATGACCTTCAGGCTCGGAGACGACTCGGCGTGATCGAGCCACTTCTTAATGCGACTGAACGACTGCAGGAGGAAGAGAGAGACGTCAGGAATAAAAAGACAAAAAGAGAGAAGTGAAGTGAAGAGGAAACTGAACCTTGTCGTCGATGACGGCGGAGAAGAAGCTGCTGAAGTCTCCAACAGGCTGATGAAGATAAACAACATTAACCTTTAACTGAAGCTGAAAACATTCTGCAGAAAACTGTTTGTGTTCATTCAACAGGTTTTAAAGGAGGATGAAGTCCATGCAGCTGAGTGAGAGCTGACGGTGTTTAAATGAACTCACGTCTCCTACGCTGATGTCTCTATGAATGTCCAGGAGTCCCTGTTTGATCTGCGGCCACACGCTCTCAGCCACATACATCCTCGAGCACGCCGAACACTTCTGTCCTCCGTACTCGAACGCAGAGCGAATTGTCCCCGTCACCACGCTCTGGACATCGGCAGAGCTGTGGACGAAGTGGAAGTTCTTCCCGCCACACTCTGAAAGCACCAGGAGACACGTTCAGTGAGCGAGGACTCACAGGACGCTGAGAGCAAGACAAATGTGGACTGATGATGGTCTGACCACCACTCGTTAGAGGTCGTTCTCACCTCCTGCCAGTCGAGGGAACGTCCTATACCTGTCCAGGTTCTGTCCCACTTGTCTCCAGAGATGCTTGAACGTTCTGAGGAACAAGCTCAGTTACAGTCACTGTGATGACGTCATTCATTCAGTCAGTTTTCACTGATTCATCAACAGTGAAATAAAAAATAGTGATGTATTAAAAACAGTGACGTCTTACGGGACGCTGCCGGTGAAGTTGATTCCTGCAAGGTGCTCAGAGGAGGTGACGGAGTCTCCGAACACGGGGCCATCAGCTGGGAGGAACTGGATGATGTTTGGCGGAAGACCACACTCCCTCAAGACTCTGTAGACGGCGTAGCTCGCAGAGATGGCGGCGTCACTGGGCTTCCACAGAACCACGTTACCCTGAGAAAAGATCAGTCTGTTGATCCTCAGACACTCGTCATTCCTTCAGTGATAATGTTGTGTATCAATAATCACAAACACATCACCACAGCTGACAGAGACCATGAGTCCACACTCACCATCAGAGTCGGGGTTCCCGCCAGGTTTCCACCAATAGCAGTGAAGTTAAATGGAGCCACAGCTGCTACAAAGCCCTGAGCAAGAGAAGAAGAGATGAGACCAGCACCAGACGCTCAATCATCCCTCAGGACAAACTCTGCGACCTGCAGAAGAAACTGTCGCTGTAATGACACCTCCTCACCTCCAGGCCGCGGTACAGCATCGTGTTAGTGCTTCCCTCTGCGTCGATCGGCTGCTGACTCTCCAGCTCGACGGCGTGTTTGGCGTTGAACCTGAAGAAGTCGATGAGCTCTGCAGCGGCGTCGATCTCGGCCTGGATGACCGTCTTCCCCTGCAGCGAAGAGGTCAGAGGTTAACGAGGTTAACGCAGAGCGAGCGTCTGTGAGAACGACACGTTCCTTAAACGCAGCGTCTGTCTGACCTCGTCACTGACTCTGATCAAACTGACTCACGTACCTGTCCGATCATGGTCTTGGCGAGGATCTCTGCTCTCCTCGGTCCACTGATGACATCAGCAGCTTTGAACAGGACCTGAGCTCGGTCCTGAACCGGTTTCAGGTCCCACTCTCTCCTCGCCGCCATGGACGCCAGGATGGCTTTGTTGATGAGCTCCTGAGGAGGAGGAGAGCTGTGAGAGTGTGCAGAAAATACAATAGCTCCCCCTGCTGGTCGGAGTCAGATCCACTGATTCGAGCAGCTTCATGTGACTCAGACAATAAAAAAAGATTTGTTCTAAAACCACTTTGACCTCTGACCTCTGCAGTAGAAACGGTGAACCTCAGACAAAGTTAGTTAAAGATAAAGTTAATAAACCATAACAGATGATAAAAGTACTGAAACTATGCTACATGAACTTTTATCATTTAAACCGTGTGTCCGTCCTAAACAAGATTCTCTGTCACACCTGATCCTTTTTCTTTGCTCAGAGTCAAGTATAGGTAGACTCCGCCCACGTATGTGATGACGACAGGACGTACGTGAGACAAAATTCTTTCGTCCCTGAATCAGCAGACTCAGAGTCATGGCACCAACACAAACCACAGCTTCTTCCCCATGGCTGTGAAGAGACTGCTGCAGGAATCATCATCACGACCCCCCCCTCACTCCTGATACTGACTACTACTCTTTTTAAACTTTCTACATTGCACTTTATTTTTTTTACTATTTATATTACCTTTTAATATATTTTATGCCCATTGTAGCTGCTAAAGTACAAGAGATGCGACCGAACAAAATGTCGTTGCACTTATTGCAATGACAATAAAGCTTCTTTATTCTAACAGATGAAACATGAACAAACATGAACAAACATGAACAAACATGAACAAACATGAACAGATGCTCTGACAGAATGTGTTCTAGGTGCGTTCAACACGATTCTTACCTTGTCAGCGTAGCAGAACTTCGCCACCTTGTGTGAGTGGTTGAACGGCTGTGAACACAGACAGAATCAGTTACTCATGGATTCGTCT